CACAATCTGTTTTCTTATAATTGTTCACAGAGGACACTGCAGTGCAAAACATGTCTGTTACCTCTATATATGCATTTACTTTAACATTTGAAGTCCCTCCTTTTTTACACATTCTGCACACAAAATAGCTCACCCCTCACAGAATCTCCGGCCGAATTTTATGTATGGGGCGGGGCATAAAGTATCTTTTGAGCAGAATATGTAAAAAAGGAGGTACTTCAAATGTTAAAGTAAATGCAGATATAGAGGTACCAGACATGTTTTGTAGTGTCAGGTACTCTATTATGTAATCTGTGAAAGGGAAATCACAAAACGAGTGTCAAAAAAATACATGCCATGTTGAGAGATTGAGGTCGGGAGAGCAAATTTTCTCTCTCAAATTTGAGTGTTTTGGCTCTCTGGGAGCTGGTAGTAAATCAGGTAAAACTGTATGGGGAAAAATCATTTTTATTTAATTGTAGCTTGTTTAACAATAATTTCCGGGAAAAAATTGAACTACAAAGTCCCTGATTAATTTCTTTAGGTTGTCGTTCACTTTTTTTGACCTGATTATGCACCGAACCAAATTATCCCACTTCTCTCAATTTTAATATGGGGATTTTTATCACTTCCTACCAGCGGAACAGCGCCATCTCTGTGGAAAATGTTCGAACAAAATGATTAATTCCATCCTCCCTATTCGCACGCGCCCGAGGATCGGAGGCGAATGCCACTTCGACTTGTTTCGTCTACTTTCTACTCTCTGACGACTGTGCTGGGGAAGCAGCATATGCATGTAGGTAATTGGTGGATTTCTTAGTTAATTCGACGCTTTTGGACAATGCAGGACATTTACCAGTTTTTCAATAGTTTCTTGTTGAAAATCAACATTCAGAAGCATTGTTATCGATGCGTAGCCATATTTATGATCGATTGGTGATAAAATTATTGAAATTGTACCAGGGGCAGCTGAGTTATTAACGTTCAAAATCTTTCTTAATTTGTTACATGTTCCATTTTCGGTTTTCACAAAGTGTACCCTCATATAGAAATCAAAGACGTAGTTCTACGTCAAAAAATCAAAAGATCGATCTACCAAAGAACGATTCTTTGGTACCGATTTAATCAGGGGATCGATTCTAGAGCCAAATATAAGATCGATCTTTCTGTAAAGATCGTCCAATCCTAGATCAATAAACAAGAAACGACTATAGAGATTGCTGACGTTTATCGTACGCACACTACGTCATGTATACGTATACACAAAATGTTTTCATCAGGAAAAAAAAAACTTCTTAGCGGAACATTTTCCCGATGAAAACAAATCACTGACACTATCATACTTTAGCAATCTCTATTATCGGATAAGGGAAAGTTTTCCCTACACGATATGGTGTTGATTTGCGTAACCTTTTGAGAACGATTTGTCTACAAATGCTAAAGGGCCCTTTTCTATTGTTAATCCAGAATTTCTCTGGTGTTCTGATGAGAGGGTCAAGGCCGGCGCACAATGGATACGTTTTCAGGTTTTTTTTTATAGCTAGCTCATGAATTATCTGTCAAAAAACTACAAGGGACAGCCCTATGGGGTTGTACGCAATTGTGGCGCAGGACTACGTGGGGTTATATAATAAGAGTTATTTGTTAACTGCAGCAGGAGCTTGTGTATTGTGTAGTAATAGGAATTTGAGTGGGGTTCTCTCTGTCTATACTCTTTAGTATAACGTGCTTGACATAGATGGCCCACAGCGACTCACGAAGAGCTACTGATTCCGATCAATTGCAGGCAGCCTTTAGCTATTTACTGGAGAACGCCACCACTCACCACGGGGTAATTGAAAAAACACCGTTTGGTGAGACCAGATGGAATTCAACTTTGAAATCTGTGTTAGGGAAATCGCTTTTCGCAGGCAATCGGTGATAATTTTAATTATCATAGCAACAGTTGTACATTGGTTCAATTTTCAATAGTGAAATATTGAAAAATGATAAAGTCTTAATTTTAACAAATTCGTAGAAAAAATTCCTATCGATTGGGGTAGAAAAAAATCCTATCCATCATCTCTAGATCAAAATCAGACCACTTTCAAGCCGCGACCGACTTTGGTTTTTGAAATTGCACCCCCAATGTTGCCTTCAAGAACATGGTATGTTAGATTTAAACAGATCTAGATAGAGCTGGAATTAGGCGTAACACCTTTTTCTTCTTCTTCCTTTGGTTTGTTTTTTCCGTCGATCTTGTTTTCCGTGCTGAGCACCAATGCTACGACGTGCCAGGAAGGCAGCTCCCACACCTGGACCCTACCTATCGACCCATCAACTCATGAACCGGGGACCAACGGCTTTACTTCCCATCCGAAGGAAGGCGTGATCAGAGATGTTATGCCTCAGAACTTCCCGGCGGCGCCGACTGGGATTGAACTCAGGCCTGCTGGGGTGAGAGGTAATCACGCTTTCCACTACACCACAGGCGCCGTTTCGTAACACCTTTTGTAAACAATGACTTCTCTCGATGATTTTTAGGAATTCACGGCACGTCCACACAAACCAACATTGCTGTCGGGTGAAGAAGTCTTATCCCATCTGATTTTGATGTTGATTTGCGTGGGCGAGCCTTGGCTTTCAAGACATCATTGAAAGAAGTCATGGTTTACAAAAGCTGTTACGCCCTAATTCCGGCACTATCTTGATATGGGAACTGACATCCGATTGATGACCTTGACAAATGTCCAAACAGAACTTTTTTACAAATTTATGGTGGTCCTGAAAAGGACCGTTTTGTTGTGATGGTTGAGTAATGCTGAGCTATTAAGGTGTTAAACACATATGAGGCTGGTGAGCTGTATGTTGTTTGGAATGGGGGTGACGCGCTTGGCATAGATGGCCCACAGCGACTCACGAAGAGCTACTGATTCCGATCAATAGCGGTGTGGCTTCTTCCTCCTTCTATGGATGCCCAGGTGGGCTGCAGCTCGCTGCTTGCAAGCAGCCTTTCGTTGTGTACTGGAGAACAATGTTCAACGCCACGCGCCGAAAGCACTGCTGATGATGCCGACGACCGGACACCACCACACACGGTGATTGGAACTGAATCCGATCAGCGGTAGAGGACAGCCTTGATAGCTAGCTGCTTGCGGGGAGCCTTTCGTTGTGTACTGGAGTACACCACTACTCACCACACGCGACGATTGAAACCGTTTGGTGAAACCGGATGGAATTCAAGTTTGAAATCTGTATTAGGGAAATCGGTTGTCGTAGGCAACCGGTGATAATTTTAATTATCATAGCAACAGTTGCACATTCGTGCCATTTTCAATAGTGACATTTTGAAAAATGATTAAGTTTTACATTTAATAGATGCGTAGAAATATTTCTGATCGAATGGTGATAAAATTATTGAAATTGGTCCAGGGGCAGCTGAGTTATTAACGTTCAAAATCTTTCATAATTTTGTTACATGTTCCATTTTCGGTTTTCACAAAGTGTACCCCCATATAGAAATCACAGACGTAGTCCTACGTCAAAACCCGAAAACGTATGCATTGTGCGCCGGCCTTCAGTCCTCCACGCACAGAATGACACTTGCTTATGGGATTTTCACATAGGAGTAAAGAGGTACAGTATCGCAAGTCTGCTCTAAACTATTCTATGAGGGAATTAAGAATAAACATAGGCGCAACTGTGAGAGGTGGTTTCAGCTGTGCTAGCTTGCACTACCGTGAGAACGCTCCATTTCAAATTTTAATGTTTTTAACATTCATACCATTTTGATAGACTGAAAATCTATTCCATCTGCAATATAATTAAAGATATCAAAACTAGAATCGAATTCTGATCGATTGGAAGTTGTTCCATCATAATCGGTCAAGAAACAATTAAAAGGGAGCAATGTCCAATTTTCTAAATGGAACATGTTGGGTACGCAAAGAATAAAGGTTTTACTGAAGAGTTGGGGGTTAAAATATACCCAAATCTATATCTAGGGTATCAAACATTCTGTTTATGTGACAAACCATTTTTTTCCTCCTGTTTGTATGTGACTTTCCCAGAGTGCTCTCCTACGGATTATCAACAACAAATTTCATATGGAATAAGTTTTGTCTTCTACGGATATATATACTATAATTACAATCAATAAAAAATCCCTTCGAGACGGTAGGTCAGACAGCCATGCTTGACATACACAGTTTTGGTCACGAACTGCTCATTTGCAAATAACTTTGCACAAAGCTGACAAAACATAGTTCTTTTTGAAGCAGTAGATATAATAGAGTTTAAGCTTGTTATAAATTCGTAAAAAGGTAGATTTTAATTCTAGTAATAAACGGTATAGGCCAGAGAACTACTTTGGCATAAGCGCCCATTTTGGGCCAGAAAAGCAGAAAACATAAAATAAATCCATGATTTCGGCGTTAACAGGTAAATTATGCGTTTGGTACGATACTTTAGTTAATAAGTTACCAAACGAAGTCAATAAGAACGCGTGATATGAGTGTTTGGACCCGTTATTCTCAAAAAAAAAAAAAAAAAGCAGGGGCTCGACCGAATCAATTTTTATCTTTTTCCGATAGGCCGAAGTAAATTAATTGGCGTTTCAATGGCGTTTCAATGTGTTAGACCGAGTTTGGCGTCCAGCCATCAGTCATAATAATATTCCGTTTGGTGCTAAACTACGCAAGATTAAGAAAGACTAAGTGCGGGTTATGCTTAATAGGCCGGAAATGGGGTAGTTAACCCTATGTTTTAGCGTTGCAAAAATGAAGTGAGAAATGCTCGTTGCACATCTTGGACTTGAAATTTAAAAAAATCATTGGTGTTGATTCAAATGTTAAGATTTACCTACTCTTTGCATATCTATAGTAAACTATGATCCTAATCTATAAATTACTTTAAAGATAAACACATTTCCACAACAGAGTGAAAAGTTATTAACAAATGAGCAGTTGGTGTGTACAACTGTGCATGCCAAGCATGCAGACAGCAATGAAGGGAAAATTACTTACCGGCTAAGATTCAATTACCTGAAGGTCACCGAATTCTTCTTATAATTTTTACTGCTGCTGCTGGCGCCGCAGGCACCGCCAAAGCTGTTGTTGTTGCCACCGATGCCGTTGCTGTTGCTCATGTTTACCTCAGGGCAGGTTTTTGTCGACTAATTGGTGTTCACACTATATCACTTGCTTCCTTTTCAAGTTGATCTGCCAGCTATAGCAGGTCAACAAATGACTGGTAGTTCTCGGCAGTAGGGACCGAACTTGATCGAAAGAGATTTTTTTTTTCGTCCTCCTGAGTACTTTATACTCCAACTATAACAAGAGCTGTATACAGTTCCACTTGACTACACAACCGGTTAGATATGATACCGTTCATCGCCGAAGCTGCTCAGTTCTACATTGAGCAGATGAGAGGTGACATTGCTGATATCGAGCACCGAACAGCCTTCATTGTAATAAAATATATCACTAAATTAGGACGAGCTGATAGATTGTCGTGTACGGAAAAATACTGATGTACGATTTGCGTATTGTAATCGAAGAAGAAATTGTATATTTGGGTTGGTGTAGCAGGCATAAGTTTGAATTTAATTTGTAGTCTGTATAGTTTGCATCTATGAACAAGTAGAGGGAATCTTTCTTGCTTTCTTCATATTCCTTAGCAGTTGCGTGCAAATTGGAATATTAAATATGACTGCTCTAAGGTTATGATTCTTTCATGTATAAAATTTACTTTAACTCATTGCACAGTGGTCCCAAAGCTGCAGTTAGGAGGAATACATTATTTGCCCTCAAACAATTAGAGCATCCACGCCAACTGACGATTCGATTTTATTTCACCCTTTTCGAATTCCATGAAAGTTCACATAATTGTTCACTCTCGCCCAATTTTTCAAAATGGCGTGTTCATAGCACGAAAACGGCTCATCTAATCAAAATGATGTCTGAGACAAAGTTGTTGGAAACTAGATTGTGTTTTGAAAAATACGCACTGAAAAAAATTACATATTTTCGTCAAAAAAATGAAAATTTTAAGACTTAGATTTTAAGACTTATGTTTATTTGAAAGCCTATCAAAATGCTAACTTTTCAATTACAATTTACAATTTGAACTTTTTTTTCACGTTATATAGGGTACATGACCCTAGCATGGGTCTAACATGCCACCCACAATGATGAACTTCAACATAATCCAACAAATAATTGACCTGCAGGCTCATCATTTCCGTAACAATTGGTTACGATAAACAGTTGCCAATCATGAAAACATTTCAGGAACATGTATTTAATATCGGCCTACTGTCCAACAATTTTTCAGTGTGTATTTTTTTAAAAAAAGGCAATCTAATTTCCTACAACTTTTTGTCTCAGACGTCATTTCGATTAGTAGAGCTGTTTCGTCCTATGTGCTATGATATATTGAAAAATATTGAATTGAAAAACTGCGAATAATTATGCAAGTTTCATGGAATTCTGAGACGTAATATCTGAAATTCGTCATTTGGAGAGGGTTGCTCATTAGTTTTATGTAAGTAATGTCTTCTGGAAAGTTAGTCCACTTGTTTCAACCAATCTTTTAAAGTGAGTGAATTGAGGGTTGTCCCTAAGGTTAGTGAAATAGGTAAAATATAATTTTATTTAAATTATAAGGCTAATGAGATCTAAATATATATTTTTTAGTTATTGATAATAAACCGTCACAATGTTCAACAACGTTGTAGAGCAATTTATTCGGAATAACTTTGGTGAAAAAGTAATTAAATTTTATGTTAATGGTTCACGTTTTGTATTGCTTTTTTAAATTTTAATAAACAACTTAGGGTGACTCTCAAAATATCGGTTCTGTTAAATTGACTTTTCATAAATTTTATTGGAAAGCTGTAAATGATTAATAAAACATACGTCCTTTTCATTATTGCTCTTCAACTTAGTTGAAAATTTTGCCGGTCCATCTCGAATAACTAAAAAACTGATCTCTGGTTCTCACTAGCATCAGGCTTGATGGAGCCTCACTCGCGAGTTTGAAATGAGCCGAGCGTTGCATTTTTCTGAGGAGTAGAATGCCTACTGCCTAATCATTCCGCTGAGGTTCAGAGCTTGTGAGCAAAGTGGGATAAAATGTGAGTGAGGTTTGCTGCCATTCATGTTCATGTTTTCTATCACACGCTCTTACTCTCACTCTGGGTGAACTCTGAGCTTCTTGCGTCGAACAAAAAAGTCATCCGGAGTCTCGAAAAGCGCACCTCACGTCAAATCATCCTTTCGCAGAAGTTCACTCTCCCTCTCTCTCGAGGAGTTTTTGTTTAATTCTTCCATATTCCTGTCGCCACTCACTCGAGGTGAGGGCTGGCTAAACTCGCAGGACAAGAGTGTTTTAAAACTTCCAGTGAGTTTGAGGAGTTTCAGCCAGCCTGACTAGCATTCGGCATACGGCATGAGCAAGGTTTCCAGTAGTAGTAGGAAATTCAAGTCCAAAACATTTTAGAGTAATCAAAGTGTCACCAAAAAAAACTATTAAAACACAGCTAAAGTCGTTAAATCCAACAATGCTAAAAATGTCATGATGACTCAATCAACGCCAATATGAACGTACATGTTGCAAAATGGTCTAAGACCCGTCATAGAAGCTTTTATCCCGTTAACGCCCAAGTCGTTTTTGACCTCCGGACAATTAAGACTTGCACGGTGACGTCACTACCTGAATAAAGAAAAAAAAACTTGCGTACAAACATTGACCGCAGCGGATGTCAAAATTTTTTCACCGCTTTGCCTCCGGCTAAACAAATACGGACGATTTTAATTTATCCAGTGATTCGCGAAGTATTTCGAGAAAAATGACAAAGAAGTGCGTAGTGCCGGGTTGTAAAGCCACGCATTTAACCATAAATTCGCGTTTTTTTTTCGATTTCCATGCTTGAAACCCCGATTACCAAAAGCTCTGATCGAAGAACGTTTGAGGTGCTGGATTTCTGTTCTGAAATTTCGAAAATTATTCAACCCGAAAGACAAATATATTTGTAATTTGCATTTTGTGTCAGGTATGCTATAAATGAAGAAATTACAATAGCCGCTGAAACTTAAATCATTCCTTGATTCAACTTAGGTGCTGCTGCAAACCTCACCGATAGTTCCAATGTGGACTGGGTACCACCATTGAACCTGCCTCTGCATAAATTACAAGCCATCAACAACTCCACTCAAAAGACCAAGGATAAAAGCACCTCAGAGTCCAGTGTTTGTGATGCGACAATCTTATCAGAAAGTTCTACTTCCAGAACTAGGTTAGATGTGATTTCTGCATGATCAGAAAGCGGTTCAGTGTCAAGCGTTGTTGATTGTGCTATGGTCGATCCTGTCCAAGAGAATTGACGTAACGGTCAGGTTTCCAATGTAAGAGACATGAAACGACCGTATGCAGAATGTAAATCCTTTCCCTTATTTATTGTAATTGTAATTTCTTTGGTTGTCACCCCTCGAAACATAGGAAAATCCACAAACCCCTCATTTTATCTGTCAAACTTTCATAGCTAATCAAAACAAACATTGTGTAGTAGTAGAATTTCAACTAGAATGGGGTACGTTAATCGTTTGCTTGGGACCAATAGGCTAGTCAAGTAGTGAGCCAATTTAAAATTGATAGTTTCGTATTGATTGTTGGTTCTACAATATCTGCTCAGTGGTACGCGCAGCTCACCACAGCAAAACACATTTTTTGCTGCATCGTAGATAGAGTCGGCCCCTCGATAAAATCAGAGCCCAATCATTATTTGGAATTCATAGGGACAGATAACAGTGCCAAACGGTTTGTGACGAGACAACCTTGAACTGCGTACAGCGCAAATCAAAACACGGAGCGGTGTCAACATTCATTTCTTTATTTAACGTCGGTCTCTGTTCCGCAATCTAGTGCCAATCACCGACGGACATCGATTGCCATCCATTGACGACAATAGAATGTGCAGGAAGGCAGCTTCCACACCTGCGTAGGATATCGCACTCATTCATCAACACACATGGGCCGGGAACAACGGCTTTACTTCCCTTCCGAAGGAAGACGTGAACAGAGATTTTTATGCCTCAGAAAAATCCCACCGACCTGGGCTAGGATTGAACCCAGACCCATTGGGGTGAGAAAGTAGTCACGCTTACCACTACACCACCGCCGCCGGCACAGAGCGGTGTCATCACTCATCGTCATCATTCAACTTCGGCAACTTTCGTTTGCGTGTGCATTTGCCGGCGTTGACAAATACCTTCATACGTTATAAAATAGGAAAGTAATCATTATTCCAACGTAATTTTTGAATAGAATATAGACGGCATATTTTATTACGTTTGTTCCCCAGTAACAATTTTGGGTTTATGAGGGTTCTGTAGGCTTTAGGATGCTATAAAACCTCGATAAAACCTGCAATGTTACTTGGGTTTAGCAATGATTTCTATACGTTGCATAATTCTTTAGGGAGAGACAACCCCAATAAAAATGTTATGGTTATTTTGCTTGACGACGTGTTCGAGGTATCATCCAAACCATTTGTTAAAAAGTTAGACTATTTGGGTTATCGTTCGTTTATGGTATTTGTTTATTAGGGAATGTGTATTCCATATTTACCTCTATGCTTATAAAGATTATTTTGAGCAATAGCTTGGCAAATCATCAATTACTATTAGAGAATTGCATCTTACTGATACCGGAGGATTATGACAGTATCATAATCCAGAACAACCGGAACCGATTCTAAGGTAGGCATGTGGTCTTATGATTGTTCTCTATCATTTACAGGAATTCCATAGAAAAAATATGTTCACGGAATGATAAGAGAGATCGTATATCTCAAAATGATCGTACACCCTACACGATTTTTTTTAAACATGGTGAATAGACGTATTTTTTTTATCGTGGCTGGTGATTGAACAGATGTTTATTGATTTATTGATATAATTTTGGTCTTTATTGGGGGAGCCTGTATGAAGTAAGATTTATTGTAGTAAAACGCTCAATTTTCAACTTTTTAGCTAGTGGACGAATTTTGGTAAAATTAGTGGCAGATGAATGATCTTTATTACGACTAAAAATGAGCAACATTTCAAGATGTTATGTTCATTTTATTTCAAGAAAATAAGGTTTTCAAGAAAAAGGCGTTTTCCTTAACTTGCTCTAACTTTTTATAAACGCAACCAAATCTGCCCAATACTGAGCCAATAATTGATAAATGTAAGCTGAGTCAGCTGCCAAAAATTCAGAGACGTATATTTTCAACTTGTGCTTTTAGAGCCCTTTTTTCTAAAATTTAAATACTGTAGTACGATCAATTTTGAGATACACGGTACATGGTAGAGATTGAAAAAAAACTACAAGGGACAGCCTTATTGTTTGTACGCAAAAAATTGGAATTGAGTCAGGG